GTTTACGTACTGTCAGTTGTATGGCTTGATTACTCCTCCTTATGTATGTGTGACCACATTCATATGAACTGATAAACACAATGGGGAGTGACATAATTATTGATTCAATGCTGAGGTTTGTAATGAAGCATGTTCTTTGTCTACACCACCACTTAGCTGGATAGTATGTCTTTCTAATGACTGATGTTAGCCTAACCTCTTAAAATTAATGTTCAAACAGCTTCCCAAGATTTACAAAGAAACAGTTTGAGATGAATAAAAATTTGGTGGAACATACAACAGTAGACATTAGATATAGATTGTAGATTTGTATAAGTCACACTGGGTTTAAAATCAAATTATTCCAACGTTGTTTCGCACGGAAATCTGGTGCAAGCTTCTTCAGGGAAATAATAAAAATTGAAATATCAAGGATATATATGTATAAATGAATTGAAAAAAACGTGTATTTAATCTCCTTGTCCAATCCTCTTCGTATCGTATAAGTGTAAGACTTTGGCACTGTGGTCGATTGTAATTCCATTCTAGTCTGTTTATCAGAAATATCACACAGTGAAACAATAACATTTACTGGATAACAATCCTCCCGACATAATCTATTGTCCATATTCATTTCAGGTAACTTCATAACTTTCAGGCAGACTTCATATAGTCCCAATCACCTCTCCTTTTCCCTGTGATGACAAGGGTGGTAGAATTTTCCATATATCTGTGAAGGATGTAGAATCATTCCCATTACTCCATGTATTTGATATTGATTCGATAAACAAAGATTCAGTCGGTTATCAATCTCTCACTCCCTCCACCCAGCTAAGTTAGTTTTCAACACTGTCACCCTATCCCATCCTATTGTGTGATTGCGTGTTATTGTTTGCAGAGTTATGGCCGAGCTGCGTTCTCATCTTTCCTAATTTTTGTTGCATATTTTGTTAATTGTTGTATTTATCCTCTCACCTAACAAGTAAATATGTGATCAGATTATCCATTCTGTATTCTTTTCAAAAGAAATGAGTTTATATTGCATTAACAAGCAGAGGATAAACTTACAGAGTGATTCGGAGACGAAAGCTAAGGTGTTTCATAAGTGAAACATACTATTCAGCCAGGCTTATTGTAATCGATATAGCGCAACACATGTTACAATGTAGGCGTTATCACTGCATAGACGATTGCATCACATCCCACTGTGTTTACCAATTAATTTGTTTGTGTGTGTGTGTTGTTACACAAAAACAGACAGAAATAATCAAGATATGCACTTCAGCATGGTGGAACCTGAATAAACTAGATAAAAAGCAGCCAGATATCCAAATGTCGAAAACCGTAGATTGTAGACGACAATCTACACGTATTACAGAGAAACTGCGAAATGTGTATATATCGGTTTGCATGGCCATACACAAATTTATGCTTGTCTTGCATGTTCAAAAACAGTCTGTCCTTACCCCATGTCCACCATGGTAATTAATATATGAGTAAAACTTGGTTACTGTAATCGATTGTAATTCCATTTAAGTCTGTTTATTAGAAATATCATACCCTGAAACAATAACATTTACTGGATAACAATCATTCGCACATAATCTATTGTCCATATTCATTTCAGGTAACTTCATAACTTTCAGGCAGACTTCATATAGTCCCAATCACCTCTACTTTTCACTGTGATGACAAGGGTGGTAGAATTTTCCATGTATCTGTGACGGATGTAGAATCATTCCTATTACTCCATGTATTTGATGTTGATTCGATAAACAAAGATTCAGTCAGTTATCAATCTCCCGCTCCCTCCACCCAGCTTAGTTAGTTTTCAACACTGTCACCCTATCCCACCCTATTGTGTGATTGTGTGTTATTGTTAGCAGAGATATGGCCGAGCTCCGTTCTCTAGATTTCTTATTTTAGAATCTATAAGTCTTGATTTAGCTGAGTTTTTGTGCTGTGTTATTCTAATCAACCCTGACCAGTCGACTATTTTGATTCACCTATTTATTTCACCTCGAAATCATTGTAAGGGATCTGGTAAATTCAATTATTTTACTGAACTGCATCGATATGATCTTCTAACCTATGAAGCTCGTTTGTGAGTGAGTTTGCTTGTTTGAATGGTACTTTAATCGCAGCCAGGTTGATGGACAAATCTTCGTAATGCTTCTGAGGTGTCGTCCTTGTATGGTAACACAGCAGAAGCTTTGAATTCGCTCTTAACCCTGTAGCCATTATTACCACTAGTAGTGGGATTATTATTAATAATACCCATATTGTTACTACTAACACTGCTTATACTTTTCTTTCGATTTCGTATGAAGTCATTTATAACTTTAGGTGGGTAATTATTGAGACCCAATGTAATCTTGATGTGTCTAACTTCTTATCTTAGATTTTCTGGTCTACTAGTAAGCATTTTCGCTCTTTCACTCAGGCATTAACTAGGCCTACTTTAACTGAGATGGGGTAGGAGGATTTGAAGATGAAGTAGCGATTTCAATGGGTAGGTTTCCTCTAGACACTAGTCTCTAAACTCCCACCTTATTTTCGTTTAATCTTGCAAACCACTACATTGCTAGCTCACCTTCTTCACTTTCTAAGTCACAGGTGAATTGGACTGCATTCAATACTGAATTTATATGTGCCAAGAACCTATTGATGTATTCCAATTTCAGTAGTATAATCGTATCATCTATATATCGGAAGCATATCTTTGGAATAGGACTTAGTGTTTGAGGGGCCATCTGTTCCCTACCATCCTTAAATATGCCTACGAGGATAGGGGATATTAGTGATCTCGTGTCACCATTTCCATTTTGTCTACATATTTTATTTTGAAAGTTGAAACTGTAGATGTTGGGCATAATCGATCTGCTAGCACGATTCCCGAGATCGACACTTTAGTTCGATGCAGTGAATCTAGTAAATGATATTATTTCAGTGTTTCACTAAAATGGAACCACCATGGTAATCTTCAACTGATCACATTACCAGAGTTGTCCTCACACCTTATCATCCCTACTTCATCAACTCTCTTATTATTTATTTCCTATTTGCCATATGTTTTCTTCTCCCTCTTCCATTTTTCATCTCATAAAATGCCTTGATGAGTAGTTGTATGTGATCAGATTGTTGAAAATGGATGTGTGTGACTACATTACACATTATCAGCTTGATTATTTTACATGATTGTGGTTTGTCTGTGGAATGATTCGAATGAGCAACTACCAAGTGTCCAGTCTTGTTTTGTGCCAGGTGACCTGTGACACTTAACGCAGTGTTCATTGATTCAAATCTTCCCGTGTTCCAAATTTTCATTTCGGTCACAAAATAAAATAGTTTACACTATCAATTTGCTACACGTCACTGAATTCTCTACTAGGTGGTGGGAACTGTAATCTCAGCGGTGACATCAGTTCCCTATGAGCAAATCATATCAACATGTTGGGAATGATTTTCAACTGTCGACACTTATGCATTGGAAGTTGTTTGTTTGAGTGAATAGTTCGCTTGTTATCTATCATGAATTGATTTTGAACATATCAATGGATATGCAAACCATGGTAATTTTGTAAAAACAGATTGAAAAGATGAGTTTGATGTGTATAGAATTTCATTTGTCATAAGGTGGTGAATACTGTTAGCCAGTTCTCTTCTCATCGATTAACCGGAATGGATTGGAAATGAGTGTTATTAATGAAGATGATGTTGATGATGATAATGATAGTCATAGTGAATCAAATCAATTCAAATTGTGTTATTGTTGATGCAGAAATAATGAAGTTCAGACTGGTCTTGACGGTGAATGCTTTCAATTTCCCAACAAACTTGACATATAAGTTTACTTCCGTGGAACAATTACCCTACATTCTAACTTAATGATAGTTAAAGATGTAGTGCTTAAAGAAAATCAACTGAACTGCGTCTATGAAATCAAATCCAGAGATTGTACTGCAGTATATGTAGGGCAAATTCATTTATATATTCATTTATATATATATATATATATATATATATATATATATATATATATATATATATCCTTGATAGTTCAATTTTAATTATTTCCCTGAAGAAGCTTGCACCAGATTTCCGTGCGAAACAACGTTGGAATTTCAAATATGCACTCAATATCTAATGTCTACTGTTGTATGCTACACCAAATCTCTATTCATCCCAAACATACAATGGTAGATACCAGTAAGGTAAGTAATTCAGTGGGAGATTGGACTTTCACCATGTACCCACTGTCCTATAATTATACTATACAGTGAGTGTGATAGGCTGGTAATTCTATAATCCAAATAATACTATATCATTGTATACTATACTAAATAAATGTTCCAATATGGAATTTTACTCAACCCTATTCCCCATATCTTACTTTTACACCTATGGTTATATAACTTTGGATTATTTTCGTGAAGAAGCTGAGATCAGACTTCACTATGAATAACTGGAAACAGTTTATTACAGATATACTGAGACTTAAACAAATATAACTTATTGCTATTTATTGACATAACTGTTATCCTTCACTGTTTTGTTGGATCAAATTGTTCGACCTCTGTTGGCATATGGGCTTCTATGCGGATACCTTAATATTGCCTAAATGTTAATTATAATAAACTGGTTGGTTGTAGCTAGCAGAAGAATTCAGGACACGCGTTTTGTTCTGGATATCTACCACCTGTTGTACAAGAAGTGGCTATCGTTCATCCATGGCATAGTGGATAACGCCTTGACGTTACTGGGGTGCAGGTACACCCAGCTGACGAGTCCCAAATAGGACGAAATGCGCGTCCTGGGTTCTTCTGCTAGCCACAACTAACCAATTTATCAAATATGACTTATGTATCAAAATTATTCATAGCTATATTCTGAACAGATGGATCAAGAAATTTTAAAAAAATCACCTAGTTGGATTTACTAGGAAGAAATGTCTTCAAAATATCGAATAAACAATAGGAAAGTATAACTTATAACTTGAACAGTGAAACAATTAAGGTTACCTTTACTTGTATTCTCCGTTGAGGAATTACTATCAGAAAGTGTCTAACATTCGATACAACTGACTGTCAGTCAGACTACAGTCATTCTAATTTGATTTATCAATAGTCTATTGGTTGGATTCCAAGAACCAATCATAATTACGGTATTTGACCTTGAGAAGGGTTATATATATATAAATTGTGATAAAATTTGGCAGGATAACAGTCAGTTCTAGAAAAACAAACTTTGATTGATTCCTACCGGTTTGTTTCTCTATCTTCATTTACATTCGAAATAATATTCTTCATTAGTGTTTGTTCTAGTTTACAGAAAATTGATTGGGAATCTACATTTGGAAAAATAGCTTCAAGGCTGACATTCTAATCAGTGGGACAAAAGCATGTGATATCGGACTATTATTATTATTATTACTATCTGATAGGTTATGTTTTTAAAAAGTTTGTTACTTTTATGGCTGATTATTTGGAGCTGGGAAATCTTTGGATTTAAGACAGTTACAATTGCCATCTGCCTGAAGTAAAAGACATATGAGAAGATTATACTCGTGTAAGGCTATAAATTCGAGACCCGTTGATTATGATTTTGTTGCATTCATTTTGATAAAGCTATGGTAGATAGATAAGTGATAACAGCTGATTTGTTTTCCCTCATTTGAATGCATTGTATTTCTTTATGAAGCTAACAGTATTGGATAGCTGTTTTGTCCTGCCATGGAATTCCTCCACAGTAAACCGTGACCTGTGAGGTAAAGTAATCGAAAGTGAAGTGGATACTAAATAAAGACCACGGTTAATACGCACGTCATATCTCAAATTGACGAAGACATAAAACTGTGAACTAGTGAATTCTGACCCAGAAGCTGAATGGCTAACGAATTCTGTGTGAAGTTTAAAGGTTATGAGTTCAACCCTTGGTGGGGCACATAAGTACTTGTGTACTGGCTGATATAACTCATACAAAGTCGAAACAGCTGTAGAGTAATTCAAAGTTTTCAATGGTGATGAATTCTATTTCTTCAGATGTTCAACTGTGAATCTACAGTGGATATTTCTCTAAAAACCCCATCACTTTATTCTGAGTAACTAATTAAGTCATAAAGTAGCAAAGAGACAGCCTATTTGGCTCTTTTTAAACTTCCGTCACCGATGATCTTCCTGACTGTGGTTTACTGTATTTTGTGGCAAAGTGTGATGAGCCGTGAGAAGATAGGCATACGCTGTTTGGCCAATGAAAAGACCCTAGAAGGTCTGGGTTTCGCTGATGACGATTTATATCTGATGTCTTGTCTCGCGTGAACCCGAAGATCTACGGGCAAAAACTAACGAATTGACAGAAGAGGCAATGCAGCGAAAACGGAACTCCGAATAAGTGTAGCCAAGACAGAGGTGATGAAGATACCCTATCAACAAAAATATACACCAGCAAAGGGGAAACCTAAAGTAAGTTGTCTCTTCCAACTACACCTACCTAGGCAGCGTCGTTCCAACTACAAGCGGCACAGATGAAGTCGTCAAAGCTAGCCAAGATAGGAAAAGCAAGATAGCAAGCAAGCAAGGGCTTCATTGACCTGAAACCAGTGTGGAGATCTATTGTACTCAACTCAGCATCAAGCGTGAATAATATATGGATTTTCAGCACTAAGTCAGTCAAGTCAGTGCTTCTATGTGGTGCTTGAGAGATGTGGCGTATTACGAAAAGCATTTCCAAAAAACTGCAGACATACATGAACAGCAGTCGCTGACTCTGGCTCGATACTCAAGATCACATCAGATGGCCAGAAAGAATAAACAACATGGAACTCACTCTGGCCTTGCAACGAACCAACCAGTGGAGAACCCATAGCCCAACAAATACGCAATGGAAGAAAGTGAAGATCGATTTGATTGGGCATACACTGAGAAGATTGATTAGGGACATTACGTACTAGGTGAGGTCATCGAGTGAAATGCAAATGGGAAACGACTAGTTGGGGGTGCATGTATGACATGTAGGAGATGATGTGGGGAAGAAATGAAAGCTTGTGGGCATTTGTGGAGTCAGGTTGAATCGACTGCAAAGAAGAGAGTGAAATGTAGACGTGCTACTGAAGCCGTATGTTTCACTAGGACAAATAATGATCATCAGTAATGTGCAAATTGTTACTAGTAATCCTCCTTCCAGGTACTACTGTTTACTCCTGTCTTCATACCCACCTTGTTACGACATTAGTTTAGATCAATGCAATTAGTCTAATTTTGTCTTTGAGTCACGCGTATACTCAAGTAAATACAATTCAGTCGAATGATAAGAAGAATGAGGTAACATACGTTTGATTGTCCTGTTTATATGTTTCCTCTTCATTTGACCAATTAGCATGTTATTTTAAGGTTGGAAGTAATAGAGAGGAAGTCATACTGTCATCTAGGTCTCTTGCTTAATGGCACTGATGAGTAAGCTGTATCTATCTATCTATCTATCTATCTATTCAAGCCACCAGAGACCTTACCATCAAGTTTATTAAGTCAATGTTGACTATATTGTGATGTAGTCATCAAGTTACGAGAGAGACTTGATCTAAATTTTATGCTTATTGATGATCATTAACAAGGTACATCTGCAACTTCAAGAAAATTGGTGTGACTTTTTTTCAGTCTAACTAACTTATATTCATAATTTGATGAGAGGTGACTGGCATCACTTTGAACACATGAACTTCGTCCACCAGGTGACTGGGATATAAGAGCAACCTGTTGTGCAACTAGTATGAGTGAATAATCTAATAGTCAGGAGAGTGAAAATTTACTCTACAAGGTCAACGAACGAACGATACCGACACCTCCCATTGGATGGGTAAATTTGCACTGATTTACTTAAAAAGTATAAAATAGGGGAGAAGTAACTGTGTAGACAACTACTATTATGTTAATATTTCTCCCTTCGGTTACCAGTGGAACAAAAGAGAGCTTTACTAGCACGTCTCCATTCAACTCTCTTCTCTGCAATCTTTCAACCTGCTTCCACCACTGCCCACAAGCTCTCACTTCTTCTTCACACGATCTCCTCCATGTCATTCTCACCTCGGACGCCCAAATCGTCGCTTCCCATCTGGATTCCACTCGAGGGCCTGACCAGGTGCATGATGTCTCCAGTCGGCCTTCTTAGTGTATGCCCATTCCATCTCCACTTCCTTCTGCATATTTGCTGGGTAATGGGTTCTTGATTGGTTCGTTGACAGAGTTCCTTGTTGCTTATTCTCATTATTCTGGCCATCTGATCTTCAGTAACCAGCCAGCGTAGGCAGTTGTTGATGACTATCTATAGTTTGTTGGAAATTCCTTTCGTAACGCACCAAGTCTCTGAACCACATAGAAGCACTGACTTGACTGACATTTGTGTTGAAAATCCGTATGTTGTTCACGCTTTATGGTGAGTGCAGAAGATCTCCACACTGGTTACAGGTTAATGAACGCATGTAGGAGATGATGTGGGGAAGAAATGAAAGCTTGTGGGCCTTTGTGGAGTTGGGTTGAATCGACTGCAAAGAAGAGAGTGAAATGTAGACGCACAACTGAATCCCTGTGCTTCACTATGAACCCAAGGGACAAATAATATAATAATAATATTTTAAATTTGTTGTCAACAAGAAATATTTGTGGTAATGTTTTCAATTTAGAACAAGATGTATTATTATTATTATCCTCAGCATCCACACCTCTCACCATATCTGTCGTCTGACAAGATAAGAAGCACACACAACTACATAGAGAAACTCAACTGTACCAGCTTAATTAGCTTGTGAATTAATTGTGTGTAGTTAATCATGTTACATCATAGTCTTAACAATCAACTGTGTAATAACGAATAGTCATCATGTTCCTGAAGTCATTCAACATTTCGCTAATCCTGTTATTTGTTATTCTTTCTTACATATTGGTAATGTTTTAAAAACTGTTGTACAGTGAATAAATTGATGTAATATCACATGCTCAAAGTTCTGTACTATAAACATAATTATAATACGGATTAAAGGAAATCTACTATTACTAAAACTACGAAGTGATATGTGCATGACAACAAGTTCAGTTTCTTAGACTTCAGTGTGGTTAGAAGAATGGAAAAGATAAATCGATTGACAAATACCGGAATTTGAACAGTTTCCGTCTTTTCAGGTGTCAGCGTGGTCTAGTCATAACACTTTATAATGGAACTAAGAAATTATGCTCTGTGAAAAAATATAGTGGAAGAACTAAACATTATTGAGAAGTGTTTCTGAGAGAATAAATATCCAAAGGGATTATAAATTAGGGAGAATAATAGAAGAAGAGGAGTAGATATTCAGCTGTGGAAAAGAAGAATGTTTTTACACACCTTACATTCAATAGAGATGGAATATTCGAGTGAATAGATACAAGAATAAAAGCAAAGCTGAGAAGAAGCTTTCCCTCATCTAGACTTTTATTGAAGCATGCTCTCAGAACCCTACTCATTTCATTTTCAGCTATATTTGTGAATCCATACGCACCTAGAGTACCAAGTATAACATTGAAAGAACTGAATGGAGGGCATCCATTCTACTCTCTGAGGACATATATCCCCAAGGATCTATGCTTGAGAGGAAGTAAATTTCAATTACCACAGCTTGGGATGATAAACGTAGAGAAAAGCTATAAATTACAGCCCTTCGTGGAGGTGATTAACATAAAAAACACTTCCAATTAGACCTCTGAGTACAGAAGGAGAGTGTAGTTAATCTCTCACTTCCCTTGATGACTATAATTTAATAATATTTCCTTTTGATTACATGACCCTTTTTCTGTTATTACCATTACTGTTATTATTGTTACCTTATATTTCTTACTGCTATCTACATGTTGTATGGGTTATCAGTGATTTCATGGTATGACTTGGGATTACCAAGTCTATAATTTGGAACTGACTTAAATGCTAGTAGCTGCGTTAAACTGTATGCAGCTGATGAGTATTCCTGAGATAAAATGACAACGGGAAATGATAATCATCAGTAAACAATATCTGATACCCGTTACATAAGTGGCAAACTTCATCCAGCAAAAGCTTTAGAGTTTGAAGTGATT